AAATCCCCCCCCCCCAAAAAAAAAAAAAACAAAGAGGATAATGATAATATGTACTTCCTGAGTCATTGTGAAAATGAAATGAGTTACAACATGTTAGGCACTTAGAAGAGACTGACACATAATAAATACTCAATAACTATCACTTACTTTTTTTTTAAAGAAAGATTTCTTTTATTTTTTGCTCTATGCCAGAGAGACAGACAGAGACAGAGAGAGAAAGCAAGAAACCACCTCCCATGGGGATGGCCACACTGCAATCCCTTCTCCTCCAACCTCCTCTCAGGACTTTGGGCACGCACGCACACGTGCCCGATGTGAATTTTAAGCCACTAGGTCTGAGACTCACATCGTAGTGGACTACGTGGGAGTCCAGCGACGTAGCCACTCCGCCATCTGCCGGTCCCCGACATCACCGACTTCTAAGGGGGAAGGAAAAGCTCTCAGGAAGTGAAGCTTACAACTTAGCATAAAGCACAACCACGCGGGCTCCTGCTTACACTGTTGGCTTCATTTCTCATCCCACCGCACCCTTCTCTTCAGCTATTTTGTTTTTCATCGGCAGAGGGCGCCAGTGCTCACCAGAGAGAGAGAGAAAACACCCCCCAATGGGGCGTGCTTATGCTGCAGTCCTTTCTCCACGTCTCCGTTGGGTCAGGATTTAGTTTCCACACGCACATGCCCAGAACGTTTCTTCAAGTCGCTGGGGATGTGTGCACTCGCCAGAGAGACAGAGAGACAGAGAGACAGAAAGGGGGAAATCACCACCACCACCCGGGTATGCAAGCACACGCACCCAGTTTGTTTTAAGCCTCTGGGTCCGGGACTCAAACCGAGGTCGACTACATGGGAGCCCAGCGATGTAACCATTCTGCCATCTGCTGGTTCCCAGATTAATTTTTTTAAAACCAAAATAGCGCCTCTGGAACACCTTTCTGCCTCCAGAGTGTGACTGGATTTAGAGGGGTCTCCTGTTTCCCCATGGCTGCTGGTGTTTTGCCTATTCTGAGGCTTATTACACCCTCGGTCAGTGACCCCCAGTAATCCATCTGGCGCCTCTGCGGGACTGGGAGCTCTCTCTTCCTCGTAATGGAACAGGGACCACTTTGGTGGCCTGAGCAGATGCTTGAGTCCCCAGATCCCCTAGAATGGAGAAATGGAGGACAAGGGATTGCAGTAGGACCATGCCCCGTTGAGGATTCTCTCCTCCACTCTGGGAATGCATGCACATCCACTCTGGCAAAAATAATAAAAACAATGACCTGTGAAATTTCCGAGGAAGTTCATTTTTTTTCTTTTTAATTTCAAACATTACTGAAATATGAATAGAATTTCCCATTCTCAGGGGTCCTTAGAGTCTAGAAGATTATGTGGTCCTTCTTACTGGAGCAGCATTTCTCAGATAACTAATTTCAGGCCGTTTCCTCATTCATTCTGTCACTCATGATTTCAACAAAACAACAATCCCGGGGACTAGCAGTTAGCGTAATGGCTATGTTGCTGGACTCCCACGTAGCTGACCGCGGTTCGAGTCCCAGACCCGGTGGCTTAAAACTCACGCCGGGCACGTGTGCATGTGTGCCCAAGATCCAGAGAGGAGAATGGAGGAGAAGGGATTGCGGCATGGACATCCCCCCTGGGGGGTGATTTCTCACTTTCTGTCTCTCTGTCTCTCTCTGTCTGTCTGGCGAGCACACGTGCCCTATAGCAAA